ATCATTTCTGGATATATATATCTCTGTGTCTATTCATTTTTGAGATTCTAAAATTCATTGCAATCCTTGTTTCCTGTAATCATTCCAATTTGGCAGAAGAATTTTCCACACAAATCATTAAAAGCCCAGATAGGGAACAATATTCATGCAGAGATTGAAAGAATCCTCTGACCTCAGCTGACCATGTCTTTCCTCCTGTTAACTGACTCTCACAGAGCTAATTGTTCTCCAAGTTCCTTTTATCCAGGTGAAGTGTTCCGTCTCACCCTCTCTCTGCTGCTCTCTCAGTCTGACTGCAGGATCAAGACAGGAAAATGGAGAGGAATCATTTTTCCAGACCACGCCTCCTGCCAAGCCCCCTGCTTCTGCAAACGAAGAGGAAGAGGAGGATGACATGGTGAGGAAGGACAGATCTTCTTAACCTTTTGTCTTTAATGTCTCCAAGACTCCCAGGAGTAAAAAGACTTTGTTTTCTTCTTTATTTTGTCCAGAGCTTAAAGGGCCGCCCGCCGCCGGCACCTCTGTTCGGTGAGGATGATGAAGATGATGATCTGGACTGGTTGAGCTGACTTCACAGTCCTGTCCTCGTTCCCAAAGCCAGAATCAGCCGTGATTGTAGATGTGATGAGATGCTGTACCGATGGACTGAGCGGAGCGGGCGACACGTCTCCATGGTTCAGCTGCTGCCTCAGAAGCCCTGGTTCTGGTCCACAAAACACTTCAGAAAACAATCAAACCCCTTTATTTAATTCTTACAGAAATTGTTGAGTATCTTCTTTTTTACATAGCACTGACCAGATCGGATTATTTTTTTAATCAGGATCAATGACCTCCCCAGGGTTTTAAACAACAGTGACAAAACAGTTTTTAAGAACAGAACTTTTACAGTTTTACTAACAACAGTTTCATGTCAGAAATATTCGCCCCGACCTTGGATTGTTTTTGAATGTTAAACTCTTCCTTGTGAGCATTTTCATAATGGAGACTTCAGGAATTTAACTACTGGATGTCACCCTTCTGATTGTTTGGTAAGCCCGTCTTTCCAAAATGTCATTAAATGATTCCTACAATACAAGTTTTTATTATTTTTTCCAACAGCTTTTGAAGAATGTTATGAGTTCAAAATAACATTTAGTCAAGTGCAGCTAAATATACAGTACTGTGTTTCAAAAAATACTGGGTCTCCCATCCAGATCATTAAATCTGCTCCACTTGACTTTGGAGACCCCCACATGGCTTTAAGGGAAGCTCTAGTCCAGCCTTGGGTTTTCTTCAACAGCTTTTCTCATTGCCTCTCTCCCATAAAGCTCTGACCAGCAAAGAGATTCTGTAGAGTTTCTCAATCTCAGCTTAATCCTTAATTAGCCAATATCTAAGACCATAGTAAAAGCACAAAACACAGTTCTTGTATGACCAGAGTCAGAACCAGCTGTTTTTCTTTCAATCTTCATTATATCCATGGATGGGTTTGGATACCATCCGTAGATGGATCCAGTTAACCCATGCACAGAGAAAATCCACATCTTTGAAGATTTCTAAGACTTTTAGGTTCTGTTGGGAGAAAATACCAAAACAATCTGTTCTGTTTATGACTGTAGTTGCTTCTCATGACTTGTGTTTCAGGATCTAAAGTAATTATTGATTTTTGTCTAATTATTGTTAATCTCTCTGTGCCTAACCAAAACAGCTAAATTGTGAAACAGCTTGGTTGAGACTAACTCTCCAGGAGTTTGGTGAATTCAAGTGTTTGTTTGTTTTTGTTTTTTTCTCTGTAGCCCTAATTTCTGAAGTAGAGACTAAGTTGATGCCATGTTAGTTTCACTGAAGTAAAACCTCATCTCAGCTGGAGAGCTGTGACTTGTATCATCCTTTTTCTTTTTCCCCATTAATTTCACAACAATCTTAAGTCCTTGGGGTGCTGTGATGGCGCAGGGGTTTAGCACAACCCACATAAGGAGGCCTAAGTCTTTCCCTTTCTCTTATTACCCTCTTTCCTGTCAATTCACAATCAAATAAAGGTCACAAGAGCCAATAAAACCTTTAAAAAAAACAATCTTAAGTCTGAACTCTTAAGTCCCCCAACATCCACATACACCATATTTCAATTTGGTCTTCCTAAACTAACATTGCCACATCTAAAGCTGCTACTCTACAGCATCACTCCTACAGGGGGATGTCTATAAGATTCATGTAGCAACACAGGGAAGGAAAAATCAAAGAGAAGTAATCGTCAGAGACCAGGATTAAGTGAATTTCACTAATACTCCAGACATGATGATGGGAAGACCAAGACGCCTCCTGAGGACAAACACAGCAGATGCTAAGAAAAACAAATATTTAGATTAATTTTTAAACTGCATATTTGAAGTAAACAAATGACAGTGATGACTGTAGCCAGTACAATAACCAGCCACACAGACAGGGACCTGGAGTTCTGATCCCTCATTATGCTGACACATAAACCACTAACTCAGGTGGAATCATAGTAAAGAGTGTGAACAGTGCTGAATTACAGTAAATGCACAAATAAAAGGTAGTTATTTTTATTGTAATTTGGCACTTCGCCCTCCATATCATACATAAGACACTTACAGTACACCAGGTTGACACAGATGAGCACATGTCATTGTTCTGGTTCTGTTGGAGGTTTCTAGGTATTATCAGGGAGTTCTTTCACTCAGCATGCCTTCATTATTAGGATACACTGGATGTGGGATTGTTTTATTGGGAATGTTCACTCCCATCTAGAGGCAACAATAGAGAACTGTAACACTTCAGGAACCTTCTATTTCAATTCAAAGCATAAAACCAATTCTAATGTGTATATAATTAGAATTTACCTTTCAAGATGGATGATGCCCAATTTTATCCTTAGTCTCTCACAAAAATGTAAATAGTACAGATAGATTGGATGGAACCATGGCCCTGAATGCCACGGGTTCCTCAGCTATATTCCAATTGTTATTTTAATCCTTTTATGTGTATGACTTTGTTTACATTGTTAATATAATTTTTATTATTTTACTCCATTATTGCTGCTCCACTTCCTGCTTTAGATATAGTGTTTAGAAAAGTCCATCTAGGAACCAGTGTTGCAAATTAGCTTACACTATAAGCACCATGATACTGGCATGGGACTGCTGCTTTATTCAGTTTGTCTATGTTGTATAGAGGATCTGCAAAGTTTAAGAAAGAAAGTTCTCACGTTATTGTAATTCCTTCTGACCTTAGGAAGACAATTAAAATAAATACTATTTTAATGTAATGCTTTGTGTTAAAGTGATAACCATAAAAACATGTGAAGGTGTCACATGGAAGGCAACATGTTGCTCCACCAGCTGGAATTTTCTGCATCACAACACTCTTGAAACAATCCTTAATGTTTTAAGATTCATGTTGGACCTAAATGAAACTCTGCTAGGCCTGGACGATAAATCAATTTTATTGATTAATCAAATCTTTGAAGATTTAATGTTTTGGAAAACCTGAATTTTTGGGGGGGGCATGGTTTCACCATGTCAAACCAGGCCACCATCTGGTTTGACAAGCATGTTTTACTTCTATTTATTTGGACTCTGAATTCAGGTCTACTCTATGACAAAATATTAGGGCCAGGCTAAGTCTTTTGAAATGTTATTGCTGTGAAAAACATGAGAGAATAACATCATAATATTAGGTAAAATTGTCTTTATTCTGCTGGTAGACTATGTTCTTGTAATTAAATAAAAATTCCTACAGCCTGGCTCTAATACACCTTCAGACATATTGCAGAAGAAATGATTGAAATAAAAATGTTTATTAGTTAACACTGTTGTAACGAAGCCGCAATTACATCTGTGGATTTTCTCTGTATCGCAGAAAATGGATGGTGGCTTGTTTAGTGATTCTATACTTGGCTTTGCAGGACGTACAGCTGTTTGTGTGTCTGTTGGCCCCTTCTGACAGCCAGACTGTGTGGACCGGCTTCAGCTTCCTCCAACACTGATCACTTATTAAAGTGGAGCTCTGCCTCATCCCTGTTTTAGAAAATTTCCACGCATTTAAGAAACTTTAAAAAAAATTAGGACATAAAAGTATACAAATCTGTCCCATACTCATTTGAGACAAATGCACAAGTTTTTATAATAATAATAAGCCAGCCAAATCTGGTTGTTTTGCAGTTTATTTTGATGAAAAGTGATATACATTTTTTCGAAGCAATCTGTTGCTTTGAAATTAAAACCTACAATATGATGAGAATGAACTGATAAAATTATATTTGACATTTACTGGAAAGCTGCAGGAAATAATGTTTTCAGTTTTGATGTTAAGGAATAAACAGTTTGTGTATCTTGTGTTTTCAGGGAGTTGATTCCAGATCTGAGGAAACTGAAAACCATAGGCACAGTTAGACCTCCAGAAGATGACACTTAAAAATGCTTATCTATTAAAAGAGGCATTAAGTCCATAAGTGCCATAGCAATTCACATGTTTCATGAAAAGACAATTTGATGTGTTTCAGAGGCATCGCATTGGGTGCCTCACAAAACCCAGCAAGTCAAAGAAAAGTAAGAAATACTATTTTTAAACAATGCGTTGCAAATAACCAGTGATTGTTCCCTATATATTAGCTTTGTAGTCAAACAGAGGATAAAGGTCAGATAAGTGCTGCTGAGTGTGGTGGAAAAATAACATTTCCTTCTCCCATTAATACAATTGCAATAAAATTAGAACTAAATGTTTCACTGACTTTATAATTGTTTTAAACTGGAACGATTCAAACAACTTTTCATCGTGTTACTGAATCTTGTCCTCTCCTTTAGATAATTTTTAATAGATGTTTACTGAGTCTCACTAAAGTCATGTAGCCAAGTTTAAGGAGATGTAAAGTTCATATTAAACGGCTACTATAAACCTACAAATCATTTTGACTGTAGACACGCCTCTTGCTTTCTGATTGGCTGCAGCTTTCATTCTGTAGGTTGTCCTCTCCTTTTTGGTCATTTAAACGGCCCCTTGCGCATTTTGATGAATAGAGTCGCTGTCAGATGCGTGGAAAGAGGACGGCTTGTTGAAGACAGGCAGCTGGAAGAGAGGAGAGCAGCCGCGGCATGGCTCCTCCGCCTAGATACATTTAGTTCTGAATCCGCAGAGCTGGATGCCACGGAGAAGCAGCTGAACTACCGCCGCCACCGCGTCACCGTGTTCTCAACGCTGTCGCGCTTTTCGTTGATATATTTTGTCCTTTTTGTCTCATTTTTTATATGGAAGTCTGAGTACAGTTGTGGATGTGGAATCTTAAAGCAACTCACCCGTGACCGTGCCATAGGTTCTCTCAACACTTTTCCAGTTTCTGTAAAGTTGTGACGGAAGAAGGAAACGCTTTGTCCTAATAAGGTAACGCGGCTCTTGTCTCTTGTTTTCAGTCCTCGCGCGCATTCCAGCGTGCAGCTTCTTCTACGAGCTCGCACTCCTTATAAACTTTGAAATTTCCATACATTTCAAAGCTACATACTGTTAGCATGGAAAAAAACACTCCATTATTTGGCCATAAACACAAGCAAAACCCGTCTCTCCGGTTTGGTTTGTTAGTAGTAGTAATAATAATACATTTTAGTTCACAGCTTTTTCTTGTGTTCCATTAGACCATTTACTGATTGACATTAGGCTAAATATTAAAATCTGTATCAGTTTGTAAATCAGCCTCTCACTGGAGCAATATCAGTCATTTGGAATGCTTTTCATGTTAAAGGTTAAACCCTTGCTGCCATTAATCTTAAGAAATCCCTTCCAGTCATCCTTGCAAGTCATTATAACTTGTAATAAAACAGTTCTCACAGGAAGATGAGCTTACTTTATGTATTTTCAGTTTAATCCTTGTAAAGTAAACCTAATAGAGTGATCAACCTGTTTGAACTCTTCCAGGAGCCAGAGGGCCCATCAAGATGGTGAACAGCCAAGCGTCAAGTGTCCCACCAGCTCCCAGGTCGTGTGCCGGATGCGGGGGGAAAATCGCAGACCGCTTCCTGCTCTTCTCCATGGAGCGCTACTGGCACACACGCTGCCTTAAGTGTTCCTGCTGCCAGGCCCAGCTGGGGGACATCGGCACCACCTGCTACAGCAAAGGGGGCATGATTCTCTGTCGCAGTGACTACATCAAGTGAGAAGAAGGAGGCAGAGGAGACGGTGCTGCCTGTTTTAGATTGTTTCAGTAGTCATACAGCGAAGCAAAGCGGTGTGTTTGTGTGTTTCCAGGCTGTTTGGGGCGTGCAGCGCCTGTGGTCAGTCCATCCCAGCAAACGAGATGGTGATGAGGGCACAGGGGAATGTTTACCACATCAAGGTAAATCCCTAATCTGCACCTCACCCTGCTTCCTGCCACATAGAAGACACGCTTAGTATGAACACAAAAGGAACGGTCTTCCTTTTTTCCCTCCCTTAGTCCTTAAACCAATCGGACTTATTATTGTTATATTTTATGTGACATTCTGATTTATTCTGATTCACCTTGGCTGACTTTGCAAACCAGGTGTTTCCTTTTTTTTCTGATTCATTTACGATGAAGCTCTGCTGGTAATATATTTACTGACTTTATTATTATTCATTCAGACTCTGTTTTCCCCCCATACTCCCTTGCAGTGTTTCAGCTGTGCCACCTGTAGAAACAGACTAATTCCCGGGGATCGCTTCCATTACATCAACGGTACAATCTTCTGCGAACATGACAGGCCTGGCGCTGCTTTGCACAACAGCCACCTGGCCCCACTTCAGAGCAGCTCGGTGCTGACGGACCAGAAGGTAAATAAAAGGGTTACTGAGATGATTCTTCAGACCCATGCAGCAAGGGAAAACTAACAGACATTAAGTTAACGCCAGTGGGAAAGAAAAGTCTATTGAATGCAAGTTTTAACACTGACCATGAAAGAAAAACTAACTTTTACATGAGTTTGGAAAATACATCAAGGAACATAATTTGGCACTGAATTAATATTTTTTTTTCACATATTCATTCTTTATACTTTACAAAGAAACGTCATCCCTAACCTCTAACACTGGTTCAAATGAAACATTTTAACACAACAAAAGATAGTCCTCCATCCTGACCTGATGCAGAGTTGTTCTGCTAACTAGTACTGAACTCACAATGCTGCGGCATTCTGGCAGGAGTCATTTATCTAAAGCAAGGCGTTTATTTGGAACACTGGGTTGTATTTTGTCCTCGTTGCCATTTTGCTCCTTTGCAGGTTTGGTAATGTAGCACCAGCCTCTTGTATTAAAAGCGACCACATGACTTTCGTATCAATCATGTGCCCCTCATTTGGGTTTAATCAGCGGTCATGTTTCATAAGTCTGATGACCTGGAAAATACAAGAAACCACTTTTGTTTAAACACATTGTCTGTTTACAAAGTCAAGGAATGGAGGGATGAAATTGTTGCTGAGGGTACAAACTGGTGAAGTGACTACTTGACCCTTAAAGTCAGAAGTAATATTCAATTATTACCATTATTTTGTAAATGAAATCCTTTTTTTATGGATGTTTTTGGAAGCTGCTTTTGGGAAAAAATGTTTGTTTACTGTCATCTTAAACTTCAAATGGTTTTCTTTGGAACACATTTCTACATTTTATGTTATGTGTGATTGAATTAAATAAAGATGACTGTATCCAATCAGAGAGCTTTACTGATTAGCATTGCTGCGTTTTGTGACCTGTTCCTCCTTCTCCTGTCCTGTCTCCAGGTATGCTAAGCGGGGAGAATCCAGAGCGACCTCGTCTCCTTCCCTTCTCAGCCTTCTCCTTCCCTCCATGTATTCTTCCTCCACTGCTACTGGTGCTGTTGTACTTGTTGTTGGGGAGCCTCATTACTCTCCTCCTCTAGTCTCACTTTTCCCAGCGAGGCTCCACTTTTTCCTGTAAGATGTCTTCTCCCTCGCTATTTCAGAGGTTTTCTATAGAACAGCATCTCCATTCTGTTAACACTCAATGGCAAAGTGGTCTGTGTAAAGACTTGAGACTATGTGGGGGCTGCAGTGGCAAAAAGTCTCCTTCAAGACTGAACAAAGCTGGAGGAAAATGGTGACTCAGAAAAGCTGTATAAAACCGCAGAGGGAACAAAAGTCATCACTGCAGAAGTGTGATGGACTGCTGTGAACTTAGAGAAAGTGACTGAACTACATTTGCCATGTCATATTATTCCTCCTCTGTTCTTTTTTAAATCTTTCTAGCTGATCATGAGATCCAAGCACTGAGACTGGCATCTATGATTTGTGTAACTGAAAGTGATTGGTTGTAGGGAGCCATTAAATGATGTAATCCAGGGTTGTACTCACCATAAACGGCTCATCCACGCCTCAGACTCTGCACAAAGACGTGCAATATAGCTGTGATGGTTTTACTGTTTTCCTTCTGTACAGTTTCTCTATCAGATGCCTGTGTAATGTGTTTATGGGTGGTGGGGTGGGGGCTGTGGGTATGAAAACAAAAATCCTATTAAAACAATTTTCCTGTAACATGTCACGAAGCGACCTGAGGTCATTGTGGCATTAGTGCGCCATTGTGTTGCTTGGTACCTGGCATGGTGGATGTTTCTCTCCCTCTCTCTCTCGCCCTCTTTAGCCCTGTATGGTGAAAACATGCCTGATTACCCCGAGGAATGGATTTAGGGGGCTTGAGCTCTGACCATTTACAGAAACAATTAAGCATGAGCCCTGTATCTGTGCTACTGGAGCTCCTGGGAGCCTGATCTTGGGGCATATGCTGTGTGGCTGACTGGCTGGCTGCCTCTAATAAAGCCTAATCTGAAAGGGGGCTAATTAAAGGGGAGTGCCCCCAACCCTGCTCCCCCTCCCCAACAGCCAGGGCATTTGAAACAATCTGATGTATTTACTTTTTATCTTGTTTCAATTAGCTCCCACACAGCCCGGCTTGGTTGGTTGCACAGCGCCCTTTGGTCTGTGCCACTCTCTGCATGGCTTCTGAAAATGATTTCCAAGAGCTGCACCTAATTCAGCTTCGTGCCTTTCTAATGCTGCGTGCAAACGTTAAAGCCCCAGCATACCATCCGAGGTCGCGACTTAATCTTTGTGTGATAGTGGCGGTAGAGCACGCTGCGTGCAGGAAACCAAGTGATAGCATCTGCTCTACTTTCACACCTTGCCTGGGTGTGCGGCTTGCCATCAAACTTCCCTTTTAATGCGCTTAGCTATTTCAAACCGTCCCACTTGTCATGGTCTAGGCTGATGCTGCATCAATTATTTATTCCACGTCTGATCAAGAAGCGTCACGCAAATTCATTAACGTATGTAAATGATCACAATTACAATTATCTTTGTATAGTGATGGTGAAAAAATACAACCTCGGCACACTCCTGAGTCCCAACGCACCACAAGTTACACTTTGCATTCAAACTAATCAAGCATCATCTGCCTTCTCCTAATTAGCCAGACCGTTTTCACATGCCAATTAGCAGGTCTCATGAAAAAGCTCTCTGCCACGAGGCGTTGTCTTTTATCAGAGCTTCTGCAGGTGTGTGGTTCATCATGTAGCCTGTGTCATAGGAAAGTGTTTATTCATGCTAATTAATCATATTAACACATGCATGAGTGTAATTGCCGAAGCTCCTTCACCTCACACCGTGTGAAGACTTGAGAAGATGCCGGGGTATTTTTATGTGCTTATGATGAAGAGGAAGAAGACCAGCGAATCTTCCTTCTTTTTTTTGCTAAACCTTTCTGTGATAAAGTTCAAACATCTCTGCCTTCCTTTGTGTGAGTGGAAGAGTCTAGGCCTTCACAACACCTCTGTGATTGGTTTGTTACTAAATGTAAATTAAATTGTAAAAAGGAAACTTTGATTAACAAATGTCCCAAGAAAAATAATCTATAACTGAAATTTTCAACTTAAGGTCTTTCATGTGAATGTTTATGTTTATATCATTAAAACCACTGGTCGGTAAGTTTTATTGTGCCAGGTTATATAAAAGGTAAGCAGGATTGCAAACTATTTGATGTAAGACTCACAGGTCACCACTGCGGTCCCCAACAGACCAACAAGAGTGTTACAAGCAGAGACTGAGCAATGTCACTGCAAGCATC